CACACATGTGTGTGTGTGTGTGTGTGTGTGTGAATTGTGAAATGTGTTTTCAGACACATAATTCCATGTTAGTTGCAATTTAAAATGAAAATTTATTATACTATATTTTAAGTTAATATTAAATGCAATCAACTGAATTTTGGAGTGCTTTTTTATCCATTTACTGTAATTAGGACTTAAAATGATTTACTCACCCTCAAGTTGTCCCAAACTTGTTTGAGATGTATGATTTTATTGTATGATGTTTAATTTTCTTGTATGAGATGTATGATTTTCTTTCTTCTGTGCAACACAAAATGAAAATGTTTTGCAGAATGTCCTGAAGCTCTTTTCCATGCAATGAAGGATTGCTCATGATGACCAATGAGTAGACATCATTGATAAGTCGTATTTGAATGTGTACAACCGCCAATGATATTTGAGAGCTATGGTAGAGGGTTTTAAGTAAATAGTATGTTTAATCTCACCCTGTTCCTCACATAAAGCTGTTGTATGGCTTCCAAAGACTTGCAATATAGCGAAAAATATATAGCAATTTTTTTTGGTTGATACCATTTTTAGAGCTCAAAAATCCAGATATTCTGCAAAACATCTTCCTTTTTGTTCCACAGACAAAAGAGACAAAAGAAAAATCATACAGGTGGCACAACATGAGGGTGAGCAAATGAAAAGAGATCTTATTAATTCTGACCCTTAAGGCTTATCTGAGAACCACAGCTCCTGTAGATGAATCTTAGACTATAAAGACATGCACTTTAGGTTATACAACTGAGTATTCATCTTTTATGCCTTCTGTCATAACAAATGTCATCAGACAGAACAGATCATTGAAATATTCATGTAGTCAAGATGAATTATAAAACTGCTTGTCTATGGAACCTTTGTCTGTTGCGGTCGCACTTTATTTCAGGTGGCCTTAACTACTATGCACTTACATAAGTACAGTGTATTTATTGTGTTCATATTGTATTGCAAAACACTTTTGCTGCTATTGAGGTGGGATATGGGTACGGTTAGGAACAGGTTTGGTGGTTTGGGTAGGTTTAAGGGTGGGTTAAGGTGTAAGGGATGGGTCAACAGTGTATTTATAAATGTAATAACATAAATTAATTACAGATGTAATTACATACAGGTATTTTTTTTTTGAAGTACAATGTAAAAACATGTATGTACACAATAAGTGCATTGTATCAAATCATTAATTTAAATGTAAGTACATAGTAATTAAGGCCACCTAATATAAAGTGGGACCCCTGTTGCTTTCTTTTTCCTGGTTTCCTTCAAAGAAAACGGACAAATAGGCAACTCACCATCTGGACGTGTACTCAGTTCTAAATCACCTTTAAAACAGCTTGCTTTGGATACAGCATTTATTGTGCTACTTAGACCGACCGGGCAGCTCTCACCAGGAATATTTTGGCCCATCTTAAACAACATTCAAGATTTGCTTATAGGTATTAATTTTTAATGTGGCTGTTCTGGATTATTTACCCAAGTGAGAATTAAAAAGTATACAGTGTGAACACATAAAAATATATTATATATTTATATACTAGGACATACTTGTGGATGAATTTAACGGAGTATGTATTACAATCTAATAACATGTATTCATTTATAAGTTGTATAGTGTGTATAGTACTTATTTATAAGCAGCATATAGTACATGGTAAAGGAGCCAGATTTAATAATGCCATACTTAGCTGAAAGGGGGGAAAAAGTCTGGTTTGTCTGTCATCAGGCATTCAGACTGATTCAGTTCATGTCTACTATTAGTGACATCATTTGGTTCCATTTGCTTGATTGCTCAGCTCAAGAGATTCAGTCCTGAAGCAACGTTTTGTTGTTTGCTGTGTGTGTGTGATCAGAAACGGTCAGCTCTGGTTATTCAGATGGGTCGTGTTAAAATGGAAAATGTGCCCTGTGTTTCTGGCTAGAGCTACCTTTTTTCCAGTAGAGGTTCTCCAGTTTTGTATACCTGCTGTGCTGTGAGACCACTGCAGTGTCAGAAGCCACACTGCATGATGGGACAGCAGCTATGGCACAATCTATAGTGAATTTGAAAGCTCAACTTGCTTTCCTTTCTCTTTACCTCTCTAAAGATGCTTCTGTTCCTCCCAAAGATTAGGGGAATATGTGTTCCTCTGAAATTGTGAAAATTCAGAAAGGATTTTGTATATTTGAGGTATCCGGTTGCATGACAAAAACAATAAGGTAAATTAAAAGAAGATACTATTGATGCATATTAATCAATTGGAACAATGATTTATAAGGAATAAAAAAAATGTCTTAATGTAACGGAGAATAAAATAATATATTATTTTTATAATAATTATAGTAATTATATTATATTTATAATTCTCATGTTTTATATTGTTATATTCTCGTATTCTCAGACCTTTTCTTTCAGTAAAATCAATATGAAATCAAAACTGATCCATTTACTTTGTAAGGCACGTTCCAGGTCTAATTGTGCACAATACATAATCATTCCAGTGAAAAAAAAAGGGGGGTTCCATTCTGGTATGGAGGAGCTATTTTCACAATTGAATCCATTCCTAATAGTACTTAAATTCAGTTTTATTTGGATAAAATAAAATAAAATAATATAAACGAATGAACAAATGAATGAATGATAGAATGAATGTTATTGGATAGACCAAATCAGAATGAAAACATTGCCCATTGAAAAATATGGGCCTCTGTACTGTGTTAATATTAAGAAATTTTCTGTGTTGATTTTTACCTGTATTTTGAATTATGCATTGCATCGTGTTGTGTTTTAAGGTTGAAGGAAATGTCTGTAATGTTAATGGAAAATGTAGTGGTAATTTTGTGACAGGACATTGGCTATTTTTCTATAGATTGTTTTTTCTACAAGATATATTGATAGATAGATAGACAGACAGACAGACAGACAGACAGACAGACAGACAGACAGACAGACAGACAGATAGATAGATAGATAGATAGATAGATAGGAATTACCCATATTTTGAATTTGCACAATTACAATTTTAGTCTGTACAACATGTTTAGATTTGCCTGTCTCTTCTATTAATTCTAATGTCTTTGTTCTGAAAACTCAAAACAGTCTATATATGGCTATATGGTATTTGAGCTCAGCTATTTTCAGATTCATGATTCATGGAAATTGCACTAAGCAATCTGAGTCTTCCTGCTACTAAAACCTGTGAAACTCATTGAGCTGCAGCTCAGCTCAGCAGCTCTCTTTAATTTATTGCACACCCATTAGAGTCTAGTTAGGGTATTCTGTCAAGTGCTCCGTAGCTTATTATACTCTCATGCCCTCAGTGCTCTCTTTAAATATACTTCATATATGTGTACATGTGTGTGCAGTGGCTTATAGGGGACAGAGAGAGCCCATGTTCCCCTCCGTGCTCCAGGAGTCACGGCAAGCCTGTGTGTGGGTCAGACGGACGCAGTTATGATACCAACTGTGACCTGGAGAGGGCGAAATGCAAGGACCACACACTCACCCTCGCCCACAGGGGCAGATGCAAAGGTCAGTGGACATCACACATTGTTGGGTGAGAATTTCTGAAAAAAAAAAAAAAAAGTATTATATGAAAACAAGCCTTATTATCACGTGCATTTTGAAACATTAAAGGGATAGTTCAGGCAATGGAACAACTTGAGAAATGTTTTGGTGAAGTGTAAGCAGTGTACAGTCCATTTAACACAATGTACCTCTATACCTCACAGCCTCATTTTCATTCCTGTCAAGAAAACTAATCCTGAAAGAAACTTTGCTTCATGCATAATCACATACTGTTTGACTGGGTATTATATGTGATAAAGAACTTCTTCAGACATTCTATGTAGAATAAATGTGTGTAGTATTAATGTAATCCATGTTGTCATTGCCATGTGACATTATCAATTTCGTGGCATTCATGACTCCTCTCTCGTGGCCTCATGGGATAGTAAAGTGTTCATCGGACTGCTCTTTTAGTGTACTATATAGTAAAGAAGTAGGCATATTCAAATGCAATGCTGAAAACAACTAATATAGGAAACAGAAACATGAGGCACATGAAACAATGAACAAGACAACAGGAAATAGGAACGAGAACCTCAAAATGAAAGCACAAAAAAAGAATAAAAGACCTGATTCAAAAACAGAAGAAACTAACACAACTGAAACATAAGTTACCGTAAACTTATCCGTTCTTTGAGCAGTTGTGTTACGTGGTATGTATTTATTTATCTATTTTGCAATTTCAGGTAAAAACTGGATGAGGATAGATCAGCCTCTTCCTGCGCCCACACTTGTTTCAGAGGTCAAAGAGCTGACAGGTATGAAATGTATGAAAACCTACATATGCACACACGATTCTTCCAACTCTGCACCCTGTGACTGCTTCCCAGTTTGTATATTTCTATACTGTGCACTCAAGTACTGATGATTTTACTTATGAGCAGTGGGGAGAGTTACTTTTAAAAGTAGTGCATTACAATATTGTGTTACTCTTTAAAAAGTAACTAATTATGTTACTTATAGTTACGTTTTATGGAAAGTAATGTGTTACATTACTTTTACTGATTTCTCTCAACATGGGGACAGGAGTGCTGTCAGTCAATAAATGGGAAAAAGTAACTGCCTGATTAAGACTGTATGACAGTAATATAGCATCATGCTAAAGCTAAAGTTTCACAAATGCCATTGCATAGTGCTAATTATGTAAATAATTTGCATGCATTCAACTGTGATTAACTCATCCCATTTGCAATAAGTCATCATTTAACGGGTTTACAAAAAATAAAGTGGTTAGTATTCATCTGGTCATGTGATTTCAATATGTCTGCCCCCATGAGGTGATCCGCTCCATGTAAAATAAAACAGCTTTTATAAGGCTACTGATACGACTGGAGTCTTCATCTCATGTGAGTGTACATGATTTTAAACATTTTTGAAAAAGTACTATTCACTTCTTTGTATAAAGGTTTTTATTTACACTTTTAACTTTTAGATTCATTTGTTTAAAACTGCACTATCACTTTTGGCCTCTCTTTTTGCACCTTTTTTTTCTGTTCGAATTGGGATGCAGTTTTGGTGGCCGATCTCAAATCAAGGCAGCAGAACACATCTGTGTGCGTGTCAGTCTAGACAGAATATACAGTCCCCGGAGCATTAGAGCAAACTACCAAGGAAGCGCGTATGCCCACTGGTATGCATGTACGTTTTTGCAGCCCGTGTTCACATGCTCAAAGACAGATTGACTGGCTTTAAGTCAAGGTCAGCCTGCATCATCAATTTCTTAGACTGGATTGTGTTAGGCGGTTAGTTAAAAGTGTCAGGAATCATAGGCGGAGGGTGAACCAACTCCAGGATAAGGCTAAAAGTAGCTTACTGTTAGTGTAATCTATTAACTACACACATCATAAACCCGGTGTTTTAGGCAAGCACCAGATATGGGTGTCATGTAAAATGTTTTTAATATGACTGAATTTGTATTTAAAGAAATAGTTCACCCAAAAATGAACATTCTGTCATTAAATACATTGTGGTACTCTCATGAACACGTGTCAAAGACTGACATGGAAGAGAAGAAATGGTTGAATAAAGTCGTTTTTTTATTTTTTATTAATTAATTTTATTTTATGAATTTTTTTTGCGCACAAAAAGTATTCTTGTAGCTTCATAAAATTAAAGTTGAACCACTGATGTCACATGGAGTATTTTAATGATGCCCTTACTACCTTTCTGGGCCTTGAACGTGGTAGTTGTGTTGCTGTTTATGTAAGGTCAGAAAGCTCTCAGATTTCATCAAAAATATCTTAATTTGTGTTCCAAAGATGAACAAAGGTATTACGGGTTTGAAACGGCATGAGGGTGAGTAATTCTCCTTTCACAAAAACCTGCCTTAGCAAACTGTCAATTAATGACAGAATTTACATTTTTGGGTAAACTATCCCTTTAACGTGAATACAATTCAAATAATAATAAAAAAAAAAACATTGTAGGTTATTAGTTTTTACACTTTAATTTCAATGGTTATTCAAACACTGAAAAAAAGTATATAAAGAACACAAGCAAAGAACATTACTGACTTCAGTCTAGCGCAAGTTTAAGCATTCTCAAAAAAAATCTCCTGTTATAATCAATGAAGCTTCCTACACTGTAAAATGTATCTCTTATTACTGATTGTAGCCCACCTGCCTCTCTCAGCCAATCGGTCACAGACTTTACAGATTCAACAGGTGTTTCTCATTTCTGCATCATGGATGATTTGAGCGCATCTGCTTTCAGACATGCAGGGCAGATTTGCAATTTGTGTCTTTGTGTGCTTAATATGCTTACGTCTGTCTGAGTTCATATCCTTATGTGTATTTGAAAGTATATTGAAAGTATATATATTTTTTATAAGTCTATGCATTTGAGAACTTAACTGTGAATAGCTTAAAGGACAAAAGTGTGAAAATGATTACGTGGTTTTTAGCCTCCCCACATCTTGGGTGCAGCCCAGCACTGAGGTCCAACTTGTAAGCGTTGTTTATTTGTCTTAGAATGACTAAATACTTTAGTTTTCATACAAAATGACCAAGTGCTTACATGCTGGAACACGACACTCAGCTTTGACATTTCAAACTTCATATTTTCCATCCTTAGAAGTTTCAAGATTAAGAATCTTCATGATGCATTTCTTACCGCAAGTGATGAGGTTTCTTTCGAAGGCTGTTTAATGCGTTGAATTTTCCAATAATCCTATCTTCAGTAATGCTTATGTTAATTATTTTCAGGATTTCAGCGGTCATGGAAATATCAGGCTATTTTAAAATGGTGATTTTCAAGTCTGGAATACTCACATTAATAATATCTTTAAAAAGGTCATGGAAATGGCATGGTAATTTCCATCGACTTTTTCTAGTTGTTCAGATTTAAAATATAGTTGGTATTTGTGAGTCAAATTTCTGTAAAAGGATTTTTTGAAGACCATTCAAAATACCTATCCTGTAATAGGTAATCACGAGCAACTGGAAAGGTCAATGGAGTTCATTGGTTAAAAAGTATGGGAAAAGTGTGGGAGTATGTTTGGTGTCTTATTGTATGTGAATTTTCCCATGATTTGCCCTTATGTATAATTCAATTTATGCATTTCCTAGATTTTTTTCCCCCCTCAAAGCAACATATAATGAATTCAAGGTATATTTTACTAAAAGTTCTCTCAGAATCAAATCCATGACATTCCCATTGACATTCCCTAGCCTCATGTACCAAAATTGTCCATATTTAGCAAATAATTGTGAACGTTGTGAATGTCAAGTATGTGTTATTAGACATATTTGTATCTATATTGCAGAAGCGGCCCAGACGAAATGCCGGACTGAGAGGATTCAGGCTCTGGAACAGGCCAAGAGGCCACAGGAATCCATTTTTATCCCAGAATGCAATGACGATGGAACATTTGCCCAGGTCTGTCAGAGTTCCAGACCCCTGCACTTTATGTGTTGTTTCTGACATCGACAAATCCTAAAGCAAACCTACCTAGTGAACAAATTAGCCTTCCAATATCTTCCCCAGACTCCCAAAAAATTGCACTTCCCTGTGTTTCTCATCAGTACGGCCGTATAGGGAATTTGAATGGAAAGTGTACATTAAATCGCATTTATAGACTCGCAGCCTCTATTTCACCTGCGCCTTACTTTGTTAAACAGCGATCATCCAGTCCGCCTAAGCTTTTAATGCCTCATCGTTTATGAGAGCCCCAGGTCCAATGTCACACCCTCACAGGATACTGCTGGTGCGTGACGACAGATGGCAAGCCAGTCAGTGGCTCTTCTGTCCAGAACAAAACGCCAGTGTGTTCAGGTACTGTATGTATGCAGATAGTATCTCTAGACTGTTTGCTTGGATTATCGCTTTGTGTTTAGGTCGTGCTGAAAAGCAGAACCGCTAAACCATCAGGTGCCTCGGTCAAGAAGTTGTGCCTGTAGTCCATCACTTTCAAAGCCATTAGACTTTGTTTGATTTAAATTGTGCTCTTTGTTTTGATGGAGTCAGCGTGATGTTAAACTCTAGCCCCCATTCTGTTTAGTTTACTTCTACTGTGTTTGTGCATGGAACCAAGAGGTGATGGATAATATCCTGGAGGACTTAGGCTGACTCCGAAAGTTCATCCATTTTTCTCTCTACTTTACGGGTTCTGCATTTCTGCTTTTCTCTCTTTCTGTCTCTTTCCAAATTCACACTCAATCAGTCTCTGTCTTCATCTGTTTCATTCTCAACCATTTTTTCCTTCTTCTCCATCATTGCTTTCTCATTCTCTCGTCATTGTATAACTGCTTTCAGCGGAGGGTTGGAATGAGGGAGCTTTTCTCTTCGTAAATGAATGGGAACACTTTGCTCTAATGGCCATGATTGTTCTGTTGGAGATAACACCACCGTCTCCTGCCAGAACTTGATTACATTATGATTGGAGCACCTGGTTGTAGTTCTTTTTTTCCCTCTTGTGTGTCTTGACATTTTATGATCACATGCCATCTTGTGCTTACCTAACTTTGATGCTACATTTCACCTAGCTTTCTGGATGGCCCGTCCAGCTGTCACTTGTCAGTTGAGTTCATCTGCAGAGACACCTGTGATTTTTGCCTGTTCCATATAATTAATTATTTTATTTTAAAATGTTTATTATTACCATTATAAAAATATATTATCTCCTTGGGATCTTTATTTATTTATTTTTACCATTTTTACCATTTCTGCACCACTAGTGGCACCAAACAGAATTGTAGAATGTAATTACTAAGCAGGTTTCCAAAGAGATTTCCCAAACATTGTATTGTATGGATAGACAGGAAGTCCTGCCTCCAAACCATGCTGTTGTTTAAGTCAGTGTCATTATATTGGGCCACTCAAATGAAGAGCAATGTGTTGCTAGCAACACAGAGTGACAGGCTTTGATTAGAATAACATGCTATCATACTACTTTTTCTGTAGTATGCAGTGGGCACAGTACACTATAACTTTAATATCTTCATGAATGGAAAAATGGATTACTACTACACTTGCCAAAATACAGTATAACATCCCACACTGCAATGCACCCAACTTTACCTTCCATTTCCTTTGTGAGAAATAAACTGGAAGTAATAGAGTGCTGCAGTGTTTATGTATTTTTGTAAGCCAACCCAAAGTTAGCATCAACCTGGTTCCCTCCAAAAACCCAATTATATTTTCCCATTGGAGAATTTTTGACAACTCTTCCAGTCTCTTCTGACAACTCTTCCTGTCTTTCCTGAAAGCTTGAGTTAGAATAGTTTGCAAGAATGCAGTTTTAAACATTGAAAAAGTGAGTAGATGAGTTTATCTGTTCAGCTTGATGATGTTTAAAGTGATAGTTCACCCAAAAATGAAAATTCTGAAGACCTTCGTTCATCTTCAGAACACAAATTAAGATATTTCTGATGAAATCTGAGAGCTTTCTGACCCTACATAGACAGCAACACAACTACCACGTTCAAGGCCCAGAGAGGTAGTAAGGACATCGTTAAAACAGTCCATGTGACATCAGTGGTTCAACCATAATTTTATGAAGCTACGAGAATACTTTTTATGTGCAAAGAAAACAAAAATAACAAATTTATTCAACAATTTCTTCTCTTCCATGTCAGTCTTCGACGCATGCATTCCTCATCATGGAATGTGAAGCAGAGAGTTTTTACACACAAAAAGTATTATCGTAGCTTCGTAAAATTACGGTTGAACCACTGATGTCACATGGGATATTTTAATGATGTCCTTACTACCTTTCTGGGCCTTAAATGTGGTAGTTGTGTTGCTGCCTATGTAGGGTCAGAAAGTTTTAATCAAAAATATTGTAATTTGTGTTCTGAAGATGAACGAAGGTCTAACGGGTTTGGAACGACATGAGTGTGAGTAATTAATGACAGAATTTTAATTTTTGGGTGAACGAACCCTTTAATGTCCCTGCATTCCCATTTAGCCACTTGTTAGCAACCACTTTCAGCAACCAAAACAAGTACAATCTTTAAATTAGATGGGGCATTACTCGTGTATTTTGCCATAGAATAAATTGTGAAGTTATCCTGAGCGTGTGTTCACCACAGACCTTATTTCAGGTATATAACCAAAATTCCCCCCAAAGAAATGGTTTAGCATTGTTAAACATACTAGTTTTCAAAATTAACAGATTGTACAGTGCACTGTGGAGTATGTTAGATTTCCATCTTGAGTGTGTCAATTAATGAAAGGCTTACAGTATATTGTCTGTGGAAAGTATAGTGGAAAGTATTTCAATATCTAAACTTTATCAACTTTAAGTTGTTTACTGTCTAATACTTGTTTAATATGTTCCTAGATTTTCTCCCTGCTACTTGTCCTGCGTAAGATTCTGCTTTGCAATTTTAATATTGTTTCATTCAAAAGTAAAATATTTATATTGAAGTGTCAACCAGTGGTGTTTTGCAATAACATCACACCCAAATTAATTATTTGGCTTCAACCTTGGCTCAGTGTTCTACATCTCATGAATGTTCAAAAGATGGACCAGTCCTGTCCCAGAAATGAGTGAATCCCATGAATCACCACATAAGTTAAATGTCTTGCACACGTTTGCAGGAAACTTCCGTGAATTTATGGGAACTCGTGCTGGGACAAGTGGATTGTCAGGTAGTAAATTTCATTCCAAATAGCCCTTTTGTTCAAAGTTCTCTTTCTCTCCAGCATTTGAATTGGTTCGACTGTCTAATCTTGAATTTATGCATGCCTTTAATCCTGAGCATTTGCACGTACTTGGATCAATGTGATTGTTGATTGTTTGTACATAACTACCCCCTCCTCAATGCATTTGATCTTTTCTGTGTCACACTAAAGTGTGTTTTATTCATGGATACTCAATCCTGGAGATATGTCTTGCTGCAGAAATTTGTTTCAACACAAATCAAACACAACAAGCTAATCATAAATATCTACACTGATGTCTACACAGGGGACTTGTCATGAAATCATGAAAACCATATTGTAGTACAAGTACAACAGAAATGCTCAAAACAATTGCTTAAAGACTGGTCTGTTAGAACAAGGTTGGAACTATATTCTGCAGGAAGGTGTGTCTACAGTACTATTGCCAATAACAATAACAGTAATCAATATTAATATAATTCATAATAATAATGAGATAAGAATAATGGATGTAAATAATTGTAACCATTTTTGTGGTGAGTTTCACTACCTAAATAAAATATGTAGCATTGCACACCATTTTTCCATGTGTGTGTGTGTGTGTGTGTGTGTGTGTGTGTGTGTGTGTGTGTGTGTATATATACGTGAAAATACAGGAAACTTAATTTCTAGATAATAACATTTCAACATTTTCAGCAGTGAAAATGTGGTTTCAGAGTGGTCTGTTGGATTTTTGGAGGGTCTTTTATTTGTTTTTCTTGAACTGATTCCTGTTTCTCTTATATGTGTAAGTTGTTACAATTATCACTTGCATTTTGTAATCTTTTGTATGACTTTTCTAGTGCATGCTGTGTTCCTACAAGTGCAAGTTGTACATATTTTAACCTGTTGTCCCAAAGTGAAGTGGTTACTGTAATGCATTGCTAAAGTTGAGTAAACATTCCGCTCTCTCTTCAAAGGGTCAGTAACCGATAAGCCACCAGGACCTCCTAGCTCTGGCAGAAAAGGTGAGTTGAATTTCGCAGAAATGTGAGTGTGTGTGCTTATGTATGAGAGATATTGAAAGCTAACAAACCAGGACACTAAATTGCACTATTACTAAATGTTGCGTTTCTTGGCTCATTTTATTTATGTAAGATTAAATGTGTCCACACATTCAAAAAGACGTCAACTGGTGCCTCGTATTTCTCTGACATGTTCATTGGCCTGACTCTGACTCAACTTTCTGTCAAGCTTTTACTTCAGACTTAAGTTTCTCTAAGGACCGTAAAGGATGAAAACCTATTCCAGTTGTTCCATTTAACAGCCAGTGTAAGAACTTAGCACACATCAAAGTCTGGGCTTTGCCAAAGCCCCACCGGTCTCTGTTACAGCAGTGAAATCTCAAACAGCTAATATAGATGTTAACAGCAGCAATGGCAGGCACCTACTTTTGTGGGCCCTAACTCAGGAAAGCCAGATTGTCATTTACAGGCCCCGAGGGTGGTGTATAGGGGTTTGAGAGTATGTTCAGGTTAGTATGGAGGGGTGGGAGAAGGTTGTGTTGGGAATGTGAGATAGGGTTTTGGTATGGAGTTTGCCTGTGTTCTTTTCAGATCTTGTGTCACCTCTTCTGCACTGGGCTGCACTCAAGACAAAGTGCGTGTGCAACAGATGTTTATGTGACCGGCGGGTGGACGGTGGTTGTGTGCCACTGTATGTGAGTCTCTAAAATTAACTGTAGGGTTTAGGATTAAAAATGCCATTCACACTTTTGATAGCATAATTGATTTTTAGCAATAAATACAAAGTTCTGTCATGAAACTAGGTGGTGCAGGCCCATAGGTCTAACTCAGTCTGAGATAATCACATCATTATTCAGACAGTGCAGCTGATTGGTTCTTTTTGTATCAGCAGCCAATGAGCTTGCTGCTCAACATTCAAATACTTGGCTATAGTGCTTGCTGTAGCAGTTGCAGCGCACTTCAGAAACCTCCACCTTCCCCAGCTCCACCTGTATAGATCTGCAATGGGGTGATTTCATGTATGTTATAAATGGGGGTTATTTTATGGATGTTACATGTGCAGCAGCAGTATTTCTTACTTTCACAGCAGCATGTCTGTGGATGTATTGGCAGTAGCAAGTCTCCGTACTTGTTCTGCCGCAGCAGCAGCCGCGTAGCAGATCTATTCCGCCAAGACCAAACTCATTAACTTTGCCATGTATATTATCATGCTAAACTCTCACAGAGTTGCCATGACAGGACTATAAACCTTTTGAGAAATACCAACAATGAGTTGTGAGGTTGTTAAAAGGTAAAGAATCTTATCATTATAGTATTTTAGGCTTTAAAGCTACAACACCACATGTAGTTAGTTAGTCTAGATTGTCTGTAAACAACTGACTGTGAACTCATTGTAAGATTAAGATTTCTTTTTTTTTTTTTACAGGCAAGTGGAGGCTAGCTAGGTTACTTGTTAGCTAGCTACATACTACATAACATCATTTAATCGGTGATGTTGTAGCATTAATGGGATCGTTCACCCCACAAAAATTAAAATTCTATAATGATTTATTTACCCTCATGTTTTTCCAAACCTGCATGCATTTCTTGTTCAATGCAGAATGCAAAAGAACATATTTTGAAACATTTCTCAGTGTTTGAACTGTCCTCTAAAGCAGGGGTGTCAAACTCAATTCTTGGAGGGCGGGAGCCCTGCAGAGTTTATGCTGCGTTCAAGTCCTCCTGGGACGTACGAGTTGACAAGTCGGTGTACCTTCTTTTAATAAATTACAAGAAAATACAACAGGGTCTGTTAACTCTGCTTATAGAAAATGAAGAGCAAAGAATTCGCATCAGGTGTGTTTTGCATTTTTAATATTTTTTTTTAGACCAGGATCCCAGTATAACTGATTTTCAGCATCAACAAATGCTAAAATACAGAGATTAAAAAAAGCTGTTGGCTAAATGCAACATGCAACATGGCAAATCAAAAGATTTTTCACCTATAGGTGCAAAAATGATAGCATTTTTTTTACTTGGATTTCATTAACTAGCTGCGTAACAAGAACATGACCAATTTGAGTTTATAGGACAACTAAACTATCAATTTAAACAAAAATTTACTGTCAACTACAGACGTTGCATCCATTGATTCCGCCATGTTTCTCATTGACACGCCCCCAACTCGGAAACTCGGGGCTTAAAGAAAATTTTGAGTTTCCCACTCGTAATAACGACTTTGTGGTGGCGTTCATGTGCGTAGATAAATACGATCTATCCGACATGACTTGAACGCACCATTAGATTCACACCTGATCCAAATAATCAAGTCCTTCAGGCTTATTTAAAAAATACATGGTATGTGTGTTGGAGCAGGGTTGGAACAAAACTCTGCAGGGCTCCGACCCTCCAGGAATTGAGTTTGACACCCCTGCAAGTGTCTAAAGCAAGTGTCACCAAACTTGGTAGAGCCAGTGTCCTGCAGAGTTTAGCTCCAACCCTAATCAAACACACCTGAACTAGCTAATCAAGGTCTTGCTAGGTATACTTGAATCTTCCAGGCAGGTGTATTGAGGTAAGTTGGAGCTAAACTCTGCAGGGAACCGGTGTTCTGATGATTTGTGCTACTCTGTCAGATTTTGCTACCTCCCATTAAAACGTAGCATAATTTGACAGCAAAAAAAAAAAATGCTACCTATCAGATTTTGCTTCCAGCATGATATTAATGTGGTGTGAGGCTTTATTAACATGTACACCTACCCCAACCCTAAATCTACCCTTACAGTATTAAAAATACAATGTTGGTAGCATAATCTGATAGGTAGCCTTATTTGTTAGAACACCGGTCCTCCAGGACCGAGTCTGGTGACCCGTGCTCTAAAGCCTAAAGCAGTAGTGATTTAACGTGCAATTCTAAATTCACAAAGGATGAGGGAATTCATCATAATTTTTTAATTACTTTGAATCAAATGTTATGTTTAAATTAATCTTGAAGTTGGTTGGTTTGATTTAAGGTGTACAATTGTTTTAATGAAATGATTGAGTGGCTGTCAGTGTTGCTCTTACAGAACAAATTCTCTGACTTGGATGTGAAAATATCTTTAAAAATAGCTTTTAACAGAGAGATCATATTACTGCTGCTTCAGAATATATATATAATAAACATTGATTTCAAATGTAAACAGTGGTCAGGGTAAAATGATTGTCACATTGACTGTAATTCAGTTCAGTGAACTACATGTATTCTATGAACTGGTTTCACTGCCACCTTATTGTGGCTTTAGCACTGTGGCTTTAGCCCCTCGACTACCAGGGCCTACAATGCTGTGAGCCACAAGGAAATCAGCCAGAATGCAATAGAACATAAGTGGGTAAGTACTGTAGGACGTTTGACATTTCTCAATTATCCTGACAACTTTGAGTGTGTTAAATCATCTACTATTGGCTTTTTATACAATTGAATTACCATTTATCTAAACAGTATGAATATGTTCTGTGTGTGTGTGTGTGTGTGTGTGTTACTGAGTGGATAAACACTGTTATTTATCTGTGTTTTTTCACTTTTATTTTCTCACTTTATATCTTCTATCCCTCACCCACTTTGTTTTCTGTGCTATTGGCCGGGCCATGTGCAAATCCCAATCATTCAACAGTTGTGGAGAGTAGATTGTATTAACCTCAATAATGGTAGTCTCTTTCCGTTTCTTTCTCACCCTCAATCCAGATGATGGTTCCAAGCCCACACCAACCATGGAGACACATGTTGTCCCAGAAGGTGAGGGTAAGTTTGGACCCCATGCAAAAATAAGCAACACAAGCAACACAAACACAAAATACGAGTCTTGCATTTATGGATATTACTGATATACAAGTGCAAATCAATTTTATGTTGTATTTTAAACAGAGATTACAGCTCCGACGTTGTGGATTAAGCAGCTGGTGTACAAAGAGAACAAACAGAACAGTTCAAACAGTAGGAAGTCAGGTGAGAATCTCTATCTATCTGTCTGTCTATCTATGGTTAACGTCCAATTGTAAATCTGATATTCTGATATATCAAATTCAGTTGTCTCACAACAGACATGCCTGTCTACTGCTGATTTGATTTATTATACTTACAAATGGAAAGAAGATCCCTTAAGTCTATTTCCTTCGTAGAGCAGCAATGACCTGAAACATATTTTCGAGCAGAGCTTTGTTGACACATATAAGTCTGCTGGCTAACCTACATAACACTACAGAAATATTTCAAAGCATCGCCATTGCAGCATCCAAGTCTGTGCGTTCAGGCACACTTGATTGTGCAACAGTTCTGTTCCAGTTTTAGATTTAATATTCAGCATGTCCAGGGACGAGAAACATAACACCAGTAGAATTAAGGCGCCCCTCTTTCTCTGTTTGTCTCAACTCTCCTCTGTGTAATTTGTTTAGCTTTCTGTGTCTCCTTTACAATTTCCTTCAAATGAGTCGAGCACCCTCTGGGCATGCTCAGTCAACTCCGTCAAGCTCTGTGAGGTTTTTGGGCAATGCGGTTGAGAGGTAGAGGGATCTGAATTTTTGTAGCACAGGAAGAGAGCACATTTCATGACTGAGGGCAGAGAAATGTGTGTGTAGTGTGTATATGCAGTTCCAGTGGTATTCCTTTGTGTACTTATTGCCTGTGTGGCCTGTAATTGGTAGACATTGAAAAATAATCTATTTATTCCACCAGAAAAAAAAGACAATTTTGACAAAAGATTTTCTGTGTTGAAGGAAACACTTACCTTGAGCAGACAAGTTGTATATCTACTCTGACAAGTCTTTGAAATGCTTCAGAGTCTCCTCCTGTGACCAATTAGCATCTGTTGCACATCAACACTCTTCAACAAGAATAGCAGATCCACAGTCATCACAAGGGTGCTTTTGCTGAAGAAGTGACGGAGTTGGCGTCGGGCTCCAACGTTGCTGCTCTTGGGAGTGTGTGTGTGGGATCTGTAGTAAATTGAAACACTGAGATGTTGCTTTTGCTGCTAAAGTAAATCTCGGAGAAAGCCAAGTTTCCATCTCTCAGTGCATTGTGGGTGGTACGCATCAGTTAGGTCTTTCACACATCAACTCGTGATGTTATAAATGTGAACGTGCTCATCTAAGGTGAGGTAAATGGTGTGCTTCTACAGTAATTGTGGTTGTGGTCTCCATTAAACAGAACAAGCATGATTATCATAGTGTCCCCTCAGATTTGGGGGTGGTTTGAACTAGCTACTGTATACAAATGTCTCTGTGCCTTCAAATGCAGATAACACTTGGCAAAAACAGATCTGTAGAGTTACAGAGACACCACGGGACTCTTAAAAAAAGGCTTTTAACCCCAGGGTGACTTTACCAAAAAGTGGACTTTTCCACAAACATCGTTCTTTGTGACTAAAAATGATTGAACTGAAGAGATTTGTTTTTTAATCACATCATTTAAAAAGATCACCATTAACTTCAAAATAAATAAATAAAATCACATTTTCCAACCTCACGCAAAGTTTTAGGGTCACAAACACCTTTTAGGCCCTCAATCTAATACTCCTACTGTAATCCTTATGCATTGTTACTGATAGTCACAGTGTGGATTTACTTATTATTTGAATAAATAACGGGAATTCTGGTAGTATCAACCATTTCCAGTGCAATCTACTATAACAAAATATATATATATATATATATATATATACACACAGTGGAAAATTATTATAATGAAATGCTATTTATCTTACTGTATAAGAAACCTATATTATTATTCTATAAAATGTAATGATTAATGGGGACATGGCTAATATTTCAATTTAAAAAAAAATTGAATTTCTTTCTTTGCATTTTCTATGTAGTTAAATCCATTTCTATGGATTATGTTGTATGCATCTAAAAGTCTTAACTATCCACCTTATTTTTAATGTAAGAGTGGGTGCAGTCTTTTTAACGTGCGAGGCTTCCTTTGCCATTCGCTTTCAGTTATTTGTATCTGTACAAATATGATATGTACGAATATGTACGGATATGACTAAGTTCTGTATCCTACTAATTATGTAAGTAGTAAGTCAAGGGCACAAAAATGAGGCACAAATGGTTGTCTCAGAATGACCCAATATGGTAAGTCATTTTGGATAAAAGCATCTGCTATATGGCAAATAACCAATGCACGTCAAATGCCCATGAAGTTCTTAAATGATTAAGCATCATTGGCGAAACAACATATTGTATTTATTGATATACATCAAAACCCACTACTGGCCAATTCACATGAAGCAAATAAAAGTGAAGAAGTTAGAATACTTCTAAGGATGAGGAAATGTTTGACACTAGTGTCTATAAACCTTTCTATCCCCTCTGTGTAGCATATTAAATTTTGAAAAGAACATGGTGCCCACCCCTCCTCTTCTGGCCCATCATACCCTCTTCTGTTACTTTATAAGCACTGAATGCATAGATCCAAGAATGAAGTGATTACTTACCTCACAGCTGAAAACAATTGGAGGGACAGCAGAAAGAGGGATAGAAAGAGAGAGTGAGATATATGCATCTAAAGGAGAAAACAAGAGAGCGAGAGAGAACGCTGTGTTTATAGGAGGCTGATAAGTTTGAGTTTCAAGCTATTTTGTTTGGCCAGATCTTGGCACGATGAAAGGCATGAGGCTCTGATTTTCAGCGTGATAGTGAGGAAATCAGCAGAGTTTACCTACAACATACCACACATAAACTAATCAATACCAGCCTGTAAACACTGAGAGGGAACCACAGCAAAGCATTCTGAGGAACAATGAGCAATGAGGTCTCACCTCGGCTGTACTCTCACTTATGTCTGTTTGTTTAAACAGAACTCATGCAACTCACTTCTTGGAACAAGGGACAGAATGCATAAAAATGACTGTATTCCGAAAAGAGAGGAGGGTCGGATTAAGTTTTACGTGCAGATTTTAAAAAAAAAATGAATGCATGACAAAAATGTGACGTAAATAGGATTAAATGGGATCTGAGACTGTCCATCCTTTTCTGTCCAGTTTTATTGTATTAGGGCGAGAGAGAGAGAGTAAAAAACAATTTTCTTTTGGGAATCCCAGCTGCTTGGCGCCAGTATACCCTCGCTACAATAAACAGTGCTAAATAATTTAGATATGAAGGAACTTTGGCGGGAAGCACAGGAGTCATGGACTCTGCCGTGAACACTTGAGTGCGGATTGTGAGCCCATCTCTGAAAAAGAGGACATATTAATACTCTGATGGCTAACTCTCCCCCGTTCCTTGTCTTTGCAGTCAGGTTCCACTTAAAACACCCCAAGCCTTGTTCCCGATCACGCCAACGCTGTCAGTCCTCTTACCAGAACTATTTATAATGAAGACAAAAGCAAAAACAGCAGGATTTGGTTACACTGAACAGGGTTGTAGCTCATGGTTTTCATTTTGAGGTTCAGACGAACCCTGACTGGGTAGTGCCGTTCTCCTCTGCTTAATTCTCTTACACTCTAGATCTTGTCCCATCTCAGTACATAATCAATTAATATGGACTGTTTAATGCATTAAAAATAACACATTTGATGAAGGATCCATTTTTCACTTCCTATTTATGTGAAGATTGTTATTTCCAGTCCAGGCTCATTGGAAATATGTGCCTGTGGCAACATTTCTGCAGAATTATATTACGCTTTTTTGCACATTTTGTGACACTTTTAAAGTGAAATGTCCAGTGAGTGACGTTAAAGCACATTCAGTTTTATCTGAAACAGATGAATGTGGATCAGGCTACATTTTATTGCATCAGTTGTTGTTATGTATTGCGGTAGTTTGAGAATGAAATGTCCAGTGAGTGTCCCTAAAATGTAAATGCTCTATTACATTTGAAAAAAAGTACCACCTACACTAAACCTTACCCTAAACCTAAACAATAGTGGTAACGAAAGCAAACATGGGATTAGGGTTGCAAAAAGGTGGAAAATTTCCAGTAAATTTCAGAAATATTCCAGAAATTTTGGAAACTTTCCAGGATTTTTTGGAATATTCCAGGGATTTTTGGAAAGTTTCCAGAAATTTACTGGAAATTTTCCACCCCTTTGCAACCCTACGTGGGATACAAAAGCTGTTGTTGTTGTACACGGTGATCTACTGAACAAGTTTACTACATAAGAATAGCTATACATGGTGTATGGAGCTGGTTATGTGATGCATAACATTAATGTATTAAAAATATTTGAATGTATAATGTATTAAAAATGTTTTGGAATTGTTGTAAAGGTACGGTTTTGGAGTTTTGAAAAAATGTAGGTAGAGGTATGTATTTCCAATGAGCATAGGTTAGTCTTATATTGAAAAGTTGCCTTTTTTAACTCTGTGTTCTATAACAGTTGTTAACTAATGATAATCAGAAAATGCAATCTGGTAATTTACAAATTAGTTTTATTAAATGGTTAAAAAAATAACTTGTCAAATGGTTATAATTACCCACTTTATTAGAAAAAATACTGGTCGTATATATCTTTTTTTTTTTTTTTTTAAGTAAAAATGCGTCCTTCATGTTGAGTCAACATTTATTTGGGGATTCTCTGTGTAACTTAATTGAATTGGTTATATTTTTATTCAATTCACAGCCCTTTTTTAACATTACAAAAATAAGACATCAAATTGAGGAAGAAGAAAGAAAAGAGACTTTTTTTTTTTTGTATAGCTTATGCATCTGTGCAATCTAATAATTAACAACTTGAGTGTCCCAAGCTGTTGTGCCGAGGGGAATGGCAGTTCTGATAAATGTTCTTGCAGCACGATATTCACTAAACATCTGATTAAAAATGACACGAATCAGTAGTGCTAAAAAGCTCTTCAGCACCCCACGAGCTGGATTAGCCTCAACATGTGGTGCTGTTATACTTGGCACAGTGCACTACAAGTGAGCAACGTACTAAATGGATTTCAGCATAAATAGAGATTTATGAGACAAGGCGTTAAAACATTTAAAAGAACATCTCTCAAGTGTCCTTTGTGTTAATAAATACAGGCAAATTGAATCCTAATGGCTCAGAGAACTTCAGAAAAGGGGAGATGCCTCTTGAAAGTGTTTACGTCAATTTTGCCTCTGTTAATTTTAACAAATTTGGTGAGTTTTATTGCAGCTAAAAGGATGTTGCCAATATTGGCCACTAGGGGCAATCACATAAGGATGCCAGAAAGGTACATTACTACACTTACAAGTTTTATCTGTTGATATCTCTAACAGAAAGACTGGAATTACATTGACTTTGACAGTTGCCATGTCTATGCTATTCCTCTCATAATTGGAAAGTTTCCATGTGGTGTCTCTGTTTTTGCTTAGTGACTGTGGTACCTTGTACTTGCTTAAAGGGGTCATATGATGCTGCTGAAAAGAACATTATTTGGTGTAATGAAATGTTTATGCGGTTTAAAGTTAAAAAAACATATTATTTTCCACATACTGTACATTATTGTTTCTCCTCTATGCCCCGCCTTTTTGACTTTACAACTTTACAGATCTTCTTTATGCACCAAGGAAAAATTGAAATTGCATCATATGACCCCTTTAATATTGATGGACTATAGATGTAAAAACTGTTATTGCCCCGCCATTGACATAATGTTCACTTTTATACTGCAGGAGGCACATCTTATGAAAGAGTTTTGAATCCCCAGATCAAAACAATGTGAAGAGGCAGAAATAAGTAGTCACGTATGTAAGCAGATGCATATGTAAAATAAAGCGATCATCACCGAACATTAAACAGAATATAAGTCAAAACTGCCTAACATTACTGCATTAAATGTCAACCCAGGAAGTGGTTTAGGACTGTGCAAGCTTTGGGGATGTTAATGGAATTTATCTACACCATCTATGTTTTGATCATCGATCTGATTGCGAAGCGGACGCAGTCTTTGACAAAAACACTATTTTCTCAGCTTTTTGTTTTTATTTAATTTAATTTTTTTATGACACTTGCCATTATTCAAGAGTTGATTTAAAAAATGCATAAAGCTAGAATTTATTTTGTTTAAAACCAGAGGCTCTGTTCTTTCTTTTGACATATTGCATGTTCAGAAATTCATACAACAAAATATTCTGGGAACCATGAACGTTTTGTGAACATTATCAAAAATGCTGGCGGGGAAAGAGTTAAAGAATAGTGAAAGAATGGTAAGCCGTATTTGAAGTATACTACCTGATACGAGTTATTTCTGTGTATTGAGTGTGTTTCTCATGGTTTTAGAGAAAGTTCCCTCTTGTGACCAGGAGAGGCAGACCGCTCAAGATGAGGCTCGGCAGAACCTGCGGGAAGCCATCTTCATCCCTGACTGTGGCCTGCAGGGCCTCTACAAGCCGGTCCAGTGCCACCAGTCCACTGGTTACTGCTGGTGTGTGCTGGTGGACACTGGGAGACCCATACCTGGAACCTCTGCAAGGTAAGACAGAGTCCTTTTGTTCTTCTGACAAATTTTGTAATGGTACCATTAGCGCTGCCTCTGCCTGTTATTTGTGCCTGTTATAACCTCATTATTTCTACAACATATTTCTGGATGAGCTTGCATGCTCTAAACATCTCAAAATGCTTTAAGTAGTGCAATCATCAGTAATACAATCCATTGTGACTGATTAGTTTAGTTGTGGAACGTTATGACAATTGGCTTTCCCTCCAAACCACAAAGTTTTTATTTTTCCATGAGCGAAGCTGTCAGTGCTGAATTTTGTTTAGAAAGGACTCAAATTGAAAGCGTGACACGTCCTGATGTGTTTCTACCCATTACGAGCCCTGATTTATTTTCCACTTTAGGAGATGTGCTCTGAATGTGTCAATTGCTCTCTTTTTTGCTTTGGAATTATTGAGAAGGTTTAGCCAACTGGTTCTAGCTGAACGAAATTTGCAGTTTGCATTCAGGCACTGAGCCCACGCTGCCTCTGTACCATGCTGAGACAGCTTGATCTTTTGGTTAGATGTTCTAGTCATTTCCGTTAAATCCGAGACTTTTTTGGGGTGTTCTTGTGTGAGGCTGCAGTGTCATGCATTCTTATGTCTGTCTCACTCAGTTTTGAGTGCAATTTTGTGTAATAAAAACCAGTGAACCAAATCTAATCAAACAATGAAATCGAATACTTGGAGTTTGTCATTTTTTTCATTTGTTTGGATAGCTGTGTTAACCGAGACAGGACTTGTATGGCTGCGTTCTCTTTTGTTTTGTTTTTTGTTTTTTTTGAGGACTTGTTAGAGTGAATGCCAGGCTCTGCAATCTCTACTCACAAATAATGAAGAAAATGTGCTTGTTCATGAAGATTTGGTTTCCAAGTCAACTTCTTTGGTGTCCAAAACGTTGATACAATGGGGTCACCATGGTGTTCTTAGTGGTTGTAAGCACATTTCTAAACATTTTCTAAGAGGTCGTGCCTTGTTGGTTGCCTACTGAGTCAGAAGAATCCATAAGAGTCCAAAGTCTGTGTGATATTCTGGCATCCAGATATGGCTTTGTATTGAAAAAAAAAAAGTGGATAATTTTATAAACGTTGTAACTAAGTGCCTCATGTTTGTGTTCTCCATCAGGTATAAGAAACCAGAATGTGACAGTGCGGCTCGTTCTCGAGACTCAGAAATGGAAGATCCTTTTAGAGACAGAGATCTGACAGGTGAGCAGGACACTTGATGAGTTGTGTCCCGATTTGCATACCTGCACACTATTCTACACCAATTGGAAGTATAAACAGTGCAAGTCAACACAAGTTCACATCGAAAATTCCAACAAGAAGTGTACTTCAATACCCAGATGATGCATTAATTTAACTGAAAAAAATCAAAGGGCCCTATCATGCACCCAGCGCAATGCAGCGCTAGGTGCGACTCGTGTTTTTTGCTAGTTTCAGCCCGACGCAGTTATCATTTTCATGTCCAGCGCCATGTTGTTTAAATAGCAAATGCACTTGCACCCATCTGTTTGCCCATGGGCGTGCTGGTCTGAAAACGAGGTGTGTTCAGGCGCATTATTGGCACGTTGCTATTTTGAGGCAACTGAAAACGATTCTGCCACTGAATCTGCCAACTAAAACCTGGTCTAAAGTCAATGACGCAGTATTTCTTTTATTTAAGGGGCATGTTCGTATTATGCACTACAGGTGCAAAATGCGCATAGCGTACACACTCTGCTTATTATACACACAGGGACGCACAGCAGCACACACACACACAAGCCAGATATTAAAAATGAAAGGATTACAATGTAAAATATTATTATTGTGTACGCTTTAACCTCGCACACGAGCAGATCCGTTTCCTCTCTGGAGATTGGTTCAGTAAATGATATAGATGCAATTCAGTAGATGCTTATGCAAATAATCCAACATGGTGCATCACAACTGGCTTTTAAAGGGAATGGGAGATGAGACTCTGATTGGTTTATTGTACGTTATGCCCAAAACACACCCATGGCTCATTAAGAGAATAGGTACAACCCTTTTGGGCCATGCGCCTGGCGTGCCAAACTTTTTTTTTTTTCGTCGTTAAACTAGCAAAATTGGATTCGGACAAGCACTAAGTTCACTTAATGAACTTATTAGCTTTAATAACGTAGATTTAATAATCAGACTCGATGCTGGATGACAAACTAGCCATCTAAATGTCATACAGTACACAGTACAGTATATAAAGCATAGTTTAAGTGCATAGTGTATAATGTATCAATGGACTAACTGTCCAATTACAGTAGTTTGTCACTCATTCTTCTGTTTATATACATATTGTTTCTAAAATATTTTGATTCCTTTTCGAATTGCTACTTAATACAGTGTACCAGTCATTTATTAGCTTTATTAACTATAGGCTAGCTTTGAGGTCATTTGTAAGCTACATCTAGTTGGCTAACTTTTTCACTATTTCATATTCCTTTTCCAGGACAATAGACAAAAAATACAGATTTTTGTTAATTTTAAATGCTATTTAGAATGATAATATCCTTCTCCTTGAAACTGACTAGCAAGTAGCAAATTGTGATTAATTTCTGCGATCTAGCTAAAGCCTATTGATTATTTTGTTGTATGTGCAATAATGATTGATATTGCTAATATGTTTCTCTGGACTTAAATAGGTGTGTTATTGAATATTTTCATTTTCTTGATTATTTTGCTTACAAAAAGTCCAAAAAGTTCCTTGTATGCATGCTAATAATGTTTGACAAATGGTTACAGGATCAAGTACAAGAACATGCAGCACCACATGTTAGCATTTAAAGGTTGTTTTCCCTTGAAATATTAGGCTTTTGCTCATTCCAGTTCGTTCCTAGGTTTCTCGCTTCTTTCCCTTTCATTTAGAATTTCATTGTAACTCCTTTTTAATTCCCCATCTGGTAAGTTTACAGAGTAAAACATGGCTCCTGACTGGGCAACAGATATGTGGTGTAGTTTACGACGGTGTGGACCACTGGGGAGGACAGCGGCAGGGGGCCGAGAGGTGCTGTCAATGCCCGGGGGACTTCAGTTAAATTATTTTTATGTACTCTACTTGAGTGCTACCTGGCACCAAAACAAAGAATCTTGGTTTCATCCTTTCAACACAGGAATGGAGAAAAAAGAACTTTTGGATAGATGTACAACCATTTCCACAGGCCAAATTCCACTACAAGACCTACCTGTAGCATCATGCTAGTGCAAACAAACAAACTCAGGGCTAATCTACTTCAGGGCTTCCAACAAGCTGGATTTATGAAGTCTACATGTGCCGAATACAGTATGGCAAGTTTGACAAGATGAGTCTGATTCCATATGTTCTGATTTAACACTTGGGCTGAGAAGCACTGAGCCGGCACGTCATCACACTTGTCTAAACCTTACAGATACTAATTGGAGTCACCTGGTGAGCCACAGGGCCCCACCTCCCATACTGCCTTGAGCCAGCAAAATCAAGAAAGTTAGTGGAACTGAGGTAGAGGGTACGGCTTGGGGAAACGAAAATGAACCAAAGTGAAAATGTAAACTGAGATTAATTTATTGCATACTCCTGTTTTAAGTTGCTCTTTAAGAGACACAATTAAGGCCGAAACATTGACCCAAGTCGAGCACACCATTGCAGCCAAGCATCTGGGACAGTTAAACATGTGCTACCCAAGGTGTTCAGCAATGTGTCATAAAAGTTAACAGGGCTGCGGTGGTCTGTGAAAGTGCCCTCGTCACCTTGTCGCTCTACCTTATTTGCTACTTTACATTTCACACATGCACTCAAGCATTTGGAAATGCTAACATCTTTTGCTCTGCATATTATGTTGATTATGCATGGGTCTTTGAACTGCTAACATGTTAAGACCGAGATCAAATGTGACTTATATTAGAAATACAACCATATTGCATTGTTGTTTTTCATTGGGACGGCTTAATACTTCCCTCGCTAACTGTGAGCATAGTTGAAAACAAGTTGGTCTGAGAATATTTTAATGTTGAAATATCTCTGCTGCAAGCCTAAATGGGAATGCTTGTGGTTATACCAGACTTTCTTTAAATGTTACAGGATGTCCAGAGGGAAAGAAAGTGGAATTCATAACCAGCCTGTTGGATGCCCTTACTACTGACATGGTGCAGGCTATCAACTCACCAACCCCCTCTGGTGGTGGGAGGTAAGAATTTAATAAACTAATGTCTTATTTACAAATTTGTTGTCTAACAGCAAAAATTGTTTCATAAATGTTTATAAATTTGTATAATTTTAAGAAAATTGTAATGTTATTACAATAAATATTATAAGAAACAATATTCTGAGAAATGGCTTGATTGAGGAATAGCTTTTTAAGTGCTTATTTTGTATTATTATTATTTCAATATTGCATTAAAACACTGTCATTATTTCAAGACATGAGCCAAAGACAAGTCTAGTCTTGATAGGACCAGCATTGATTAACTAGATTTTTACATTACATCACAAAAAAAACAAAAAAGTATGAGTAGTCTCTTTTTATACAAAATGTCCCAGCACAATGATGAATTAGGCTTGACCCCCACCACAACTTCCCATGTCTCTCTGATATTCTAGTGCCTATATGTGGCCAAGGATCCTATGAGTTCTGAGTCTGAACACAATATAATTCTATGAAAATTTTATTTAATTTTAATTTTATTTATTCATTCATTCATTCATAATATTTAATATTTCATAAAAGAAATTTGAAACTGCCCAAGTATAGTACTATCTGTATCTCTTCTCCTAGCCATTTGCTATCTGTCTTCTCTCTCTTTCAAATTAATCAAACAGCAACAAAAAATCTTAAATGGAAAATATGTTTTGAAAGTACTATACAGTATACCCCTCCAACTGGGATTGTTTCTGCTCCAGGTTTGTTGAGCCTGACCCAAGCCACACACTGGAGGAACGGGTGGTTCATTGGTACTTTGCCCAGCTGGATAATAACGGCAGTCACAATATCAACAAGAAGGAGATGAAGCCCTTCAAGCGCTATGTGAAGAAGAAAGCCAAACCTAAACGATGCGCCCGCAAGTTCACCGACTACTGCGACCTTAACAAGGACAAGACCATCTCCCTTCAAGAACTCAAAGGATGCCTAGGAGTCAATAAAGAGGGTGTGCAGTTTTTTTTATGCATTTAAGATATAAAAACAGGTGATGGATTAGATTTGGTACTCTAAAGGAGCTGGAGTGGTGGTGTTGTGATTTGGTGGAGTCACATTTTGTGACGTTATTACGGAAGTTACTTAATTTCCCTTGACACTTCCTGTTTCATTGAATACACAATGAAAGTTGGTGTTCCTACCAACTTCCAACCAGTTTCCTTTTTTTTTTTTTTTCTAGTTTTAATTCAAAACCCAGTAGACCGATATTATTAAAGCATATCTTTACAACATATTATTATTACATTATCACAATATATTCACATGGGCCAGATGTGGGCCGGATCTGGGCCAACACTATGTTGCTGTCTGGGTACATCAGGGCTTCCAACAAGCTGTCTTTATGAAGTCTACATGTGCCGAAAACCGTATGGGAAGTTTGTCAAGATGAGTCTGATTCCATATGTTCTGACTTAACACTTAGGCTGAGAAGCACTGAGCCGGCACGTCATCACTCATCACACTTGTCCAAACCGTACAGATACTAATTGGAGTCACCTGGTGAGCCACAGGGCCCCACCTCCCATACTGCCTTGAGCCAGCAAAATCAAGAAAGTTAGTGGAACTGAGGTAGAGGGTACGGCTTGGGGAAACGAAAATGAACCAAAGTGAAAATGTAAACTGAGATTAATTTATTGCATACTCCTGTTTTAAGTTGCTCTTTAAGAGACACAATTAAGGCCGAAACATTGACCCAAGTCGAGCACACCATTGCAGCCAAGCATCTGGGACAGTTAAACATGTGCTACCCAAGGTGTTCAGCAATGTGTCATAAAAGTTAACAGGGCTGCGGTGGTCTGTGAAAGTGCCCTCGTCACCTTGTCGCTCTACCTTATTTGCTACTTTACATTTCACATGTGCGCTCAAGCATTTGGAAATGCTAACATCTTTTGCTCTGCATATTATGTTGATTATGCATGGGTCTTTGAACTGCTAACATGTTAAGACCGAGATCAAATGTGACTTATATTAGAAATACAACCATATTGCATTGTTGTTTTTCATTGGGACGGCTTAATACTTCCCTCGCTAACTGTGAGCATAGTTGAAAACAAGTTGGTCTGAGAATATTTTAATGTTGAAATATCTCTGCTGCAAGCCTAAATGGGAATGCTTGTGGTTATACCAGACTTTCTTTAAATGTTACAGGATGTCCAGAGGGAAAGAAAGTGGAATTCATAACCAGCCTGTTGGATGCCCTTACTACTGACATGGTGCAGGCTATCAACTCACCAACCCCCTCTGGTGGTGGGAGGTAAGAATTTAATAAACTAATGTCTTATTTACAAATTTGTTGTCTAACAGCAAAAATTGTTTCATAAATGTTTATAAATTTGTATAATTTTAAGAAAATTGTAATGTTATTACAATAAATATTATAAGAAACAATATTCTGAGAAATGGCTTGATTGAGGAATAGCTTTTTAAGTGCTTATTTTGTATTATTATTATTTCAATATTGCATTAAAACACTGTCATTATTTCAAGACATGAGCCAAAGACAAGTCTAGTCTTGATAGGACCAGCATTGATTAACTAGATTTTTACATTACATCACAAAAAAAACAAAAAAGTATGAGTAGTCTCTTTTTATACAAAATGTCCCAGCACAATGATGAATTAGGCTTGACCCCCACCACAACTTCCCATGTCTCTCTGATATTCTAGTGCCTATATGTGGCCAAGGATCCTATGAGTTCTGAGTCTGAACACAATATAATTCTATGAAAATTTTATTTAATTTTAATTTTATTTATTCATTCATTCATTCATAATATTTAATATTTCATAAAAGAAATTTGAAACTGCCCAAGTATAGTACTATCTGTATCTCTTCTCCTAGCCATTTGCTATCTGTCTTCTCTCTCTTTCAAATTAATCAAACAGCAACAAAAAATCTTAAATGGAAAATATGTTTTGAAAGTACTATACAGTATACCCCTCCAACTGGGATTGTTTCTGCTCCAGGTTTGTTGAGCCTGACCCAAGCCACACACTGGAGGAACGGGTGGTTCATTGGTACTTTGCCCAGCTGGATAATAACGGCAGTCACAATATCAACAAGAAGGAGATGAAGCCCTTCAAGCGCTATGTGAAGAAGAAAGCCAAACCTAAACGATGCGCCCGCAAGTTCACCGACTACTGCGACCTTAACAAGGACAAGACCATCTCCCTTCAAGAACTCAAAGGATGCCTAGGAGTCAATAAAGAGGGTGTGCAGTTTTTTTTATGCATTTAAGATATAAAAACAGGTGATGGATTAGATTTGGTACTCTAAAGGAGCTGGAGTGGTGGTGTTGTGATTTGGTGGAGTCACATTTTGTGACGTTATTACGGAAGTTACTTAATTTCCCTTGACACTTCCTGTTTCATTGAATACACAATGAAAGTTGGTGTTCCTACCAACTTCCAACCAGTTTCCTTTTTTTTCTTTTTTTTCTAGTTTTAATTCAAAACCCAGTAGACCGATATTATTAAAGCATATCTTTACAACATATTATTATTACATTATCACAATATACAAATGTACTCTTTTACAAATATGACTGTTATCCAAAACAGTAACGTTGTGTCTTTTTGGCGTCAAACTGACACCAGCCAAAACACAATGTATTATGTATGTGTTACATGATTGATGCATATTCTTAATGCACAATTTCTTAACAGTAAGTTTCCATAAGATTGGAGAAAGTCATGAACTTTCTTTCGGTTTCTGTTAAATATAGAATCCCATTTCAGACTCCGAGTTGAAAACAGTTTATTGCTACTTTGTTTCTCATAATTGCAACTTTATATCTCAAAATGTGACTTCATATTTCGCAATGTGAATTAATTCTTTCAAAGTATGACTTAATTTGTCATATTTGCTACTTTATGTGAAACCATACGACTTTATATCTCACAATGGGACTTTATTTATTACAATGTAATACTATATCCTGCAAATTGCAACTTAATTTCTCATAACTGTGACTTTATGTCAAACAATATGACTTTATAACACACAATGTGACTTTAAATGTCACAACTGTAATTTTATACCTCAGTGTTCTTTATACACACTTATGTCACTTTTTTTTTCTCGGTGGAAATGGGCTTAGTGTACATTCTCAAACCCCAAACAGCAGTGACTGTACAAAATGAGTCAAATACTGACACAGTGATATTTTTGTAAGAGTCAGTAGTTCCTATCTACTGGAAAAATGTCGGGAAAACATGTTAGTCAGATTCTTTTCTTATTATTAACATGTTTCTTGTATGTTCTTCTTATTTGCAGGTAGCACTACAAGCAGCAGTCAGGGGACAAGGCAAGGGACAAATTTGTTCAGTAAGGCCTGACTAATTGCTTTCGCACTAACATTTGCCTCAGCAGTTGCAGAGAGCAGAAATTATAATATATTAACAATATTAATAGAGTGCAAGCATTGTAGTGAACAATATATGCCTTGCCCTTTTATGATGGAGATGGCACGAATGATGCATCCTTATGGCCACCCACATTGTGTCTGCTTTTGTGTGCGCATGTATTCTTTGTGAGCTAAATTCAATAGATGATTACTTTAATCATAGTTTTACACTGTAGTCAGGGTGCTGTGTGTAATTGAGTCAGAAGGGAACTATTCTCGGTGAATAGTATGGACAGTAGATACAAAGAAAGTGACATAATTATGGAGAGTAATGTAAAATGGAAAATTTACATTCAACCCCTAGAGCCTGAACGGCGATCATCTGAGTGAGGAAGATATGGATCTTTGCTCATATGCACTTAGTTCTAGATTTATTTTTCTTTTTTTTTTTAGTTGACAAGAAAGTGCAAAAATTATATGTATTATTTGGTAACAAACAAGCATTTGTAATCTAATGCAATATTATTTTCCACTATATTTTCATCAACAGTGTTTTAACTAAAAGGTAAATTTTCTTCATTATTAGTGAGACTAACAAACATTTTCATGATTTTGATATACTGAAAAGCTTTTGACTACTGACTATCCTGAGCTGATTCTATATAAATATACTATAAAAGGTCTAAATAAATGTTATTTTTGCCCCCAGAATGGAGTGGTTAGATTAGCTAAGTGGGCCATGTTAAACAGCCAAAACTTGACCCTTGAGTTGGAAGCAACTTCTACCCTCAGATAACTAGGCCGGATGGTGCGGCAGCCCAAAATCCACCTGATCCTCTGCTGATCGAGTTAAAATAATGCTCCATCCCATCATTAGCTGCACCAGAAGTTCTGCCACTCCATCACAGTCCAAAAGACTAGCTACTTATGTTACTTATTACAAGGAGGCATCCCGTCTAATGGCTTTTGTTGGACAAAAGTTGCAGGTTTGGAGTTACTCGCTTCTCCTCGAACACATCGTTTGTTCTACTTCATAGATAAGCAATGACAAGTGCATTAGTAGGACTGTAAAATGTTTCCAACCTCTTAAATCTAGTAGGAGAATACAGTTTCCAAAATAACCACCAGGAGTGACGACCCCAGACTTTTTTTCTCTTTTCCGTTTTATATCGCAAAAAAATATAGCGCTGTCATGACTTCGCTGTATATTACCGGGTTATGAGAAGGAAAGTGTGGTTTTAATATTAGTCCTGATGTGCTTCTCCATATCGGCCTCCTCTGGTTTGTGGTTGTCTAAAGTGGAACTTAAGGGGAGAAATTATTTATCTAAATGCTATAATTCTGTGTGTCCAGACCCACCTGTTTCTCTTAGCTAAATTACAGCGTGAGGTTTAATTCATTGGGCTCCTGTGTGTAGACGCTCAGAAGTCATGCGCAACTTTATAATTGGTTTGAATAAGACTTTGTGGCACCATTTACTTCACATTTGATTAGTGGTAGTCTTCAGTGACATTTTCTTTAGAGCCACAGAAGAAGAAAAAAAACACACTTATTTGGAAGCATGACTGTTTATTTGAAATGATTGCAACTGTAATAGCTCTGAGACCGAGACGGTCTCATTCGTGTTTTTTTTTTTGTGTTTTTTTTACCGTGTCGGAGACAGAGACGCAGAGCAGAAAGCAGAGATGTTCTGTCTCATAGCACGATGACAAGTCACTCTCTCGCTCCTTCATGCTCACCGTCTGACTTTGGTCTGTTTTTGCCAGACATAATGTTTTGCTCGTAGTTAGGTGTTTAGCGTTTGATGACAGGCTCGCTAGCCCACTAGCACCGTTTCTTGCCAGCTCGCTCTCCCACCAGCGGGATTCCCTTGTTATTAGTCGAGTAGCTGCTGTTTACCCTAGCTTGTGGGTTCTGGTAGCCTAGCAGAGACCCACCAAGGTCCCAGCGAGGGCTGAGCTCATGTGTTTACCCTGGCGCTGCCCACTTCAACCTAAAAACAGTGGCCGGGAGCGGGCAGAAAGTCATGCCCAGTGGACCGTGACTAGCACTGCCAAGATAAACAGCTGTTTCGTTTGGAGAGCTGAGGGGGCTTCTCCTACCCACAGCCAAAGAGTTTGCTTTTCAACACCCCCCTCCCGTGTACACACTCGAGGGTTGATGAATTGGGCCTAGCTTCTCCAAAAAGACAGTTTTATGTCTTGTCGCTGAAGTGTACTGGAAGTAAAATTGATGAGTCTGATGTAGTTGCAATTTGGGACCATGCGCTGCCAAAATATCTACGAAGCAATCAGAGCCAATAGACATTTCCTTCATCTGGCTGTGGCTGTTTGACAATGAATGTTTGACAAATTGTAACATAATTTATTTAGTTACAATACTGTACTTGCAGTTACTGCAATCGAGACACCAGAATTATGTCTTAAAAATGTTGATAGTGCTCTTTACTTTATAAAACAGGTTTTCTTACACAAGTGAATTACTGTTGGCATTTATTAAATTCATCAACAATATGTTCACATTCATTATTAATCTTATGCCTATTGTGCTAAAAATAACTGTTAATATTTCTTGTCTTGTCACATTGACGAATTACATTGTCTTACATGAATTGAATTACACGAATCGTTACAGAAATGTAATGTTTCAGTTCAAAATAGCAAAATTAGACAAAGTTTATTAGTTCCCAATCCCTGATTGATGTCGGTCGTTTAACATTTCTATAGTTAAACAGCTATCAAATATTAAATGTTTAGTAATTTAGCTACTTACATTTTATTGTACACTTTATGACTGAAGCATCATTGTGGAATTCTGCCAGTCTCATTATAGCAGCTGACTTGCTTCTTCTCTGTCCAAACGGGCAACGACTTCACAGCCAGGGTTTGAGCACAATGGTACATCATTAAACTGATTTCGGACAGGCTTCTGAGGCAGCATATCAGTCGAATGATCAGCATCAATATTTACTTAATACTATACTAATTTCTTGCTATAAATGAAATCAAAAGCTGTGATCTGCTGCAGGAAAGGTGCAAGAACCAAGCTACCTAAAACATGATGATGCTTTATATTAAGTGCTTCAGACAATCGCATAAGCACATGGTTTATTGTGGCTCTTCAGATGTGTGTGCTGTTTAATGTGTGTGTTTTCCCCAGTGCAGCAAGCGCAAAACTTGCATTACTTACGGTTTTGTCCTTATTTGAAAATATCAGAAAGTCAATTTTGCACAAAGGCAATTTAACATGTAATTGGATGTAAATGTAAGTTTATTATATTTAGAACAAGGAAATCAGAGAAAACTTGTACAGTAGCCACATTAGTTGTAGATATTGTCCCTGGTAGAAATCATGTAAAACCTAAGCTAGTTTTCTGGTCTTTGCTGGCTTAAGGGCCTGATATACTTCAAACGAAGTTCGTTTTCGTTCTTCGTTTGGGGGCAAAAAGAAGTTTGAAAAGGCTGAGCGACGGTATACTGTTTCCGAACATTCCCGACACCCCCGCACTGCTGGAGGCGGGGTTTAGATTAAATATGTGTCGCGCTACTCGCGCGTATGGCCTAAACACAACAACGATGAAGTGTAGGCAATCTAGGTGTGAGACGGGCACCAATGGTCAGAATATTATAGACAAAAGAATAATGATTGGCAGCAGTTCAGAGTCAAGTATCATGTTTGCAATACAAAAGAACCATTCCATTTCCATAATCAGTCCTTTATAGGAAGTGTGATGGCTCATAGTCTGAAAATTTTAGCATGATGTGGAAAAAAATATTGGAGTCAGTTTGTTACTTTATTTTATTAGTGTTCATTTATTTTATTAAACTGGATAAATTATTACATCTTTTTATATTTTATGTGGTGTCATGATTTACTTTTGATAAAAACAAAGGTTTATTATTGTATGTTCGTTTGGCATTTCATTTATTGTATACCCTTTAAATTCGCTTATTGAAAGAACAACAGCAGCAGCAGTATGGTGTAACATTTATTTGAAACACATGTATTTGGTACTTACTACCTTATATCTTTACTCTTTCCTTTCATTCTTTTCATGGCTTTGGAAAACTTGTCTGGAATGATTCTCTACGTCACTTTTTGCATAACTCCGGGTCTCCAGGTGTGGATATATTTGTGCCAGATCAGCTATTCGACACTCCAGTGTGTTCAGGTTACTAGTGACTAGGAGATGTTGTTCTCCTGCCTGACCTCCGTTGAATGAGAAACGAACCGGGAGAAAAAAAAATCGCACGTCAAAGAAGGTGGGGTTTCAGAACACACCCTCCGATTGCGTAACCGCCAAGAACCAATGGAAGCTCAAAGGTGTTTAGGAGCCAAAACGAACTCCCCCAGAAAATTCGCTTTGGTGAGCTGTTTCAAACTGCCGAAACGAACTCAAAACGAACTTCGTTTCGGCCTGATTTTGTTCGAAATGACGTCATATCAGTTCGTTCTTCGATTTCGTTTGAAGTATATCCGGGCCTTTAGGGTGGTCTAGTTGGTCATTCAGGCAGTCCAAGTTGGCCTTCAGCTCAACAGTGTCCAAAACCGGCCAAACCATACCAGCTAAGACAAGTAAAGCAGACTGATCAAATTTAAGTTCGTTTTCTGTGTGTTCTTCTTCTTCTTCTTCTTCTTCTTCTTCTTCTTCTTCTTCTTCTTCTTCTTCTTCTTGCAATGTATTGCAATGGAGCTAGTTTACACTTTGTTTGGTAAAGACCACAATCATGGTCTTCAATTTTCAAGTTCTTTCTTTTCAGCTTTTTAAAACCATTGGCTCCTTTGAATGGTCAGCACTAGACCTCTCAAACACAGACACTATAATTGCTAGTTGAAGCACCAACTTATGCCTCAAACTTGTGACAGAAAAAGACACTACCAGTTTGCATTGACTCACTTCATCCTTTTCTGGCTGGGAAATGAAGACAGTTAAAGTGTAGTTGCTTGGAGTTACTGTAGTG